AGCAAATCAATGAAAGGATTTGAAATATACTAAAATTATAAAATAATATATATAATGAAAATTATTGTTATATTATATAATATTATTATTATATAATGAAATTCTTTGAGATTTTAAATAATTGAAACAAAATCATCTCAGAAAATAAGTCTAATGCAATAATTCAATTTTTGAGTATAAAAAAATTTATTCTCTTTTTTTTACTTTTTTCTTCGAATTTACTTTTTCACTCTACTACTTTCTTTGTCATATTATTCTAATGTTTTGCATACCTTTATTCTATATCAGAATCATCTTCTAGATATCTAATTCATATAATTCATATTTTTTTTTTCCTCTATCCAATATTTATTATAGTTTTAGATATTCTGAAAAGTTTACACTTCCAATTGTCATGAAATTTAAAGAGAAAAAGAAGAAAGGAAAGATGAATATTAAATCAAAAATTTTAGCTTTGAATTTTTATTAAGATCAGAACAGATATTAAAATGAGAATTGATAACTTGATTTTAAAATGTAATGTCCTTATGAGAAAATTTCAGATAAAAAATATTTTTCAAGAGAATAATTGAAGTTACAATCATTAATTTTATTTGAGATACTTTATTGGATCTTTATTGTATTATATCATTGATTATTCTATACTTTATGATAATCAATAATATAAAGAGAGTATTAATAATACCTGTGTAGACATTATATTCAATATATTAGTTATGCATATAAACAAAATTTAATATATTATACAAAAATATATCTTTTTTAATATTTCAAAAACTAATAAATATTTGAAGCTAAAATTTTAGATTTAAGCTCTCCTTCCACCCCTCCTCCCCGATTTTTCCAAATTTTATGTTAATCACATAATCACATAATTTTATGTTAATTGCATAACTTTTCAGAAATATATTTCTTGTTTCGTTTATAAATATTCTTATGTTTATATTGTTCATTACATTTTTCTATTTTATTTAATCTTTCTTATTTGTTATATATATTGTACATATATATATATTGTACACATATATATAAATATATATATATATTTATTATATTATATTTTTACTTCTTATTTTAAATTCTCTATTTTTAATTAGTTGTATTTATCTTTAATCATTCATTCTTTTTTTTATTATTTCTTGTTTTATCTGTTTTCATCTTTCTTTATATTGCTAGTTTTAATTTCTTTTTTTTTTTTGCATTTCGTTTAGTATTATATCTGGGTATACATCTATTCAAATTAGACATCATCTTATATATTTTAATTATCTTTTTCAGTTTGCTTTTTTCCTTCTACCCGTACTGTTCCATCCCATAAATCATCATGTTCCTTACAAGATAATTGAATATGATCATTCTTCTTAAATTTGTACTTAAAGTACTTTTTCCTTATGCTCCACACTTGTCTGGCTGCCAAATTTTTTTCTACCTCAGAAGATGTAAGTCTACTTCAATTTTATTCCCAGGTATACAAATTCATTTACTATTTCTAATTCTAGCTCTTCGCATCTCTTTACATTACTTTTTCTTATAACTTTTATCTTTACTAAAAACTATATATTATTTTTAATTTCCAATACAACACTCTACAACATTCTAGGAAAAATAATTCAATAAATTATTGATATAATTTATGATAGAATAATTTTTATAAATTTAAATATGTAGTTTCAAGTAAGTTTTTAAAAATATAAAATATAAAATTTAAATTATGGAAAAAAATAATTCAGAAAAAATAAAAAGGTTTAAATAGAAATAATTCATAAAAATAAAATTATTAATAGAATATTTAATTATTAAATGATATTTTTTAAAAATGTAGTAAGTATATATCATATATATATTATATAATTTATGAAACTTTAATTAAACAATTGTTTAATTGTTTCATTGATTGAATTAATAAAATTAATATTTTAATCATAATTTTTTCATATTTTAATATTTATAATAGTTATGTAACCATGCATTTACTTATATTTACTTATATTTATATTTATATAATATTTTTCATATGGTAACTTATATTTTATAAATGTAATAATTGTTTATCATATATACACATGCATATATACATAAATTATATATATATATCATTATTATTATTTATTATATTATTATTTATTAATATATTCATGAAACAATAACTTTTAAAAAGTTGATTTTAAAAATTAAATAAATATAAAAATTGATAAAATATCAATTGAAACTTATTTATTAAATTATCAGGAATTTAAGTTTATGTTTAAAAGATAACAAATGTAAATATAAGAAATTCATATTAACATTATATATTATAAAAGTTAAATTAATTTCTTTATTGTTTTTTTTACAGATAAGGATGGCATAAATGCTCAAGATACTATGCAACCATGTAAAAGCAATTCTGATAAAGTATTCAGATGTTATCAAGATTATCCTAAAGAAATTTTAAACTGTTCTAGTTTAGTTGAAGAATTTTCTAATTGTGTAGATCAACGCCGAGCACAAGTGATTGCAGCACGTTAATGTATTTTGATATTAAATCATTGATAGTCTAACCAAATGTAATGTAATTTAATAATAAATTTTAGTTTTTGAAAATAAATTATATAATATATAATCAGATTTTGAAAATTTATTTTTACAATGTTACTAATAATATTTTAAAAAATTTAAATAATACAAAAATTCAATCAATAAAAATAACTTAATTAAAATTAAGAAAAGAAAAAAACAAGTATGAAATATTTAATGTCAATAATTCTATTAATATTAAAGTAT